CAGCATAAGCTATTAAAAAAAAAATCATGGGATTTCAATTTTCATGAAATTCACCCATGGAAATTCCAGTTTTTTATGGGAAAACCATGGTTTACTCATGGAATTCCATGGGTTTTCCATGGAATATTTCCGTAGGGGAAGCCAAACTTTTTAACAGTGGTGTAGTATTTACACGATTACAATTAATTGAAGGATTTCAAAATATTTGTTTATTTCCACTTAATATAGACAAAATCAATAAATCCAAATTACTGAATTGAATAATTAACAAATTGCTAAAACATTTGAGGCTCCACAAATTCAGTCTACAACAGCTCAACTTACACAAAATCTAATAAAAATCTTAACACACCCTCTCAATCAACAAAATATCATTTGCAACTTATTGAAACTAGGGCTGTACCGAATTTCGGCTCCGGCAGAAATCCGGCTATTTTTACAAACCCGGCCCAAATCCGGCTCCGGCAAAATGTTAGCAAATCCATGTGGGTTCCATATGGTATGTCCCACATGGGTTTTATATGGTAAACCCCACATGGGATATAGGTGGAAAATACCGCAGATGTTATAGATCTTAAATGTCACGTATTTTAATCAAAATGGTATAAAAGTACTCAATACCAGAAAATTAAAATTAAAATGAAATAAATGAGTCCGGACGCTTCTAGGATAATTTTTAAATATCCTAAAAATTAAAAATTACTGATTAAAAATTTACCATAAACTATTATAACGAAATTCTATAAAATCGAAAAAAGTGTTGCAAAATGAATTTATTTTAAAATAATTGCTATTAACAAATACATTAAAAATAAATATTGAAAATATTATTTGTTCTTTTGAGATTTATACACAAAACATCTTTTGTCGGTTGAATTAATAAAGTTAATCGCTTTGGCTCTCATAATACTTCAACAATTGGTTTATTTGTCGGTTGAATTAAAAAAGTATATGGTCTTGAATCGCTCAATACCAAGATTTTTAGTATCTTCTTACTTTCTTTAAATATTTTCTAAAATATATATATATATATATATATAATTCATTTTGCTTGCTAATAAACTAATAAAGTGAGCAAAAGGATAGGAAAACTGCTCACTATATTATATATATATATATATATATATATATATATATATATATATATATATATATATATATATGTATATATTTATGTGTATATATATATATATATATATATATATATATATATATATATATATATATATGTATATATTTATGTGTGTATATATATATATATATATATATATATATATATATATATATATAAATATATATATATATATATATATATATATATATATTTATATATATATGTATATATATATGTTTATGTATATATTTATGTGTGTATGTATATGAAGACCTCAGTGGAAAAACCGGCGTTGTCACATTTAAAAAGTTTTGAGAAAGTGGTTATTGATCATTAATAAAAGTCTTTATTTAAAGCAAACAAAACTAAGTAATTTAAAAATATTTATATTATAGTTTATATAATGTTTAAAGTTTAATCAAAAACAAAACTATTTTAATTTTTTATATAAATATATGTTTTTTTGCCTTTTATAAAGACTTTTATTAATGATCAATAACTACTTTCTCAAAACTTTTTAAATGTGACAATGCCGGTTTTTCCACTGAGGTCTTCATATATTTATGTGTGTATGTATATATATATATATATATATATATATATATATATATATATATATATATATATTCTATATGAAGGTGATCCTGAGAAAAAGTAATCCACTAGGATAAGCGTTTAACAAAAAAAAATAAAACAAAAAAAATTTAAGAACCTACTTTACAATGATGTAGACATTGGGTGCAATATACACAAGATGCAACAGTAGAACAGCTTTTTCGTCACACATTTTAATATGAAAACAATCAACAAACATCTAAATTTCCACATATATATAACATTAAAACTATAAGTTAATACAAAATTTCACTTTTAAACGAATGCCATTATATTTTTGATGATAATAGCATTAGGAGACTAGTATTTATGTATTATTATTATTATTATTATTATAAATAAATAGTTTCTTTTATTCATTTTATAAAATAGAGTCTTACAACTGATAATTAATGGAAATAAATACAAATTATAAAAATAATGTAAGCTTCTAAACACTATATTAATGTTAGTCTACAAAATTAAAATCAATTTAAAGAATCGCTATTAGTTCGTTTACGATTTGCACGCCCACCTATGTCTCTCGAATTTATGAAATATGTAGTCAAAGCACGCTCAATTAACAGATTTTCAGCATTACAATGCTTTTTTCTTACACTTTCTAAAGAGAAATATGATAGATTGATTACTTTTCTTAACTAAATCATTTACTGGCATCATTTCTGGATGACCCCATAGTCTAAATATAAAAAAATATATATTATAAAAATATTACAATATATTTTTAAATATGAAAAAGTATATATATATATATATATATATATATATATATATATATATTATTTTACTTCATTTAAGACACCTGTTGATATATAACAACAGCTTACAAAGCTTGCAATAATTCATTAAAGATTCTATCAGAGTTATTAAAACGTAATAAATTTAACATGAATGGAAAAGTAAAGCTGTTGTTATTTAAAAATGTAAAGGGCGTTGTCAAAACAAATCAATTCAAGTTACCTTTCACTAGATCCTCAATTTAATTCATGGCCATTTTGCCAGATCTGTTTGTCTCTTTTGCCATTTCAGATGTAAATAGAGACGACATCATTCGACTTATAGATTTTTCTAAAGTTGCAGCGTTGGAGTAACTAAGCCATTGGACCTATATATAAATACACACAAATAATATTGCATACTTAATTTAGCGCTATGATGCTATACTGATTCAGAGATAAGAGAGGGCTTCAGTACATACATCGACTGATTTAGGGGGAACCCACTAGTTGATAACACATTGAAGAGTTTAGGGTTGAAGAGTTTAGGTAGTATATATATATATATATATATATATATATATATATATATATATATATATATATATATATATATATATATATATATATATATATATATATATATATATATATATATATATATATACATATATATATATATATATATAAATATATATATATATATATATATATATATATATATATATATATATATATATATATATATATATATATATATATATATATATATATATATATATATATATATATATATATATATATATATAGAGAGAGAGAGTAAATTATTTCTAATAATTAATGTTATATTTATAACGTATATAAATATAATCAAAGCCAACTTTTAAAAAGGTTTTAACTTACAAAGTCTTTTCTGATCTCAACATCTTTTAATCTATCAATCAACACTCTAAATTCCTCCGGAGACGAAACAACATTGAAAGTTATTGGATTTGAAATGGGAGTATTTCTTTCTTGAAGTAAACCTTTTACTTCCATCATAATATTTTTCAGTTGTTTAATTTCATATTCAATACTTGTTAGGCGGCGTTTAACATCATTGATTTCACTATTGGTATTGGTTGAAACACATTTTACTGGATTACCTTAATTTAATAAACTAAGTATACATGAATATATATATATATATATTTATATATATATATATATATATATATATATATATATATATATATATATATATATATATATATATATATATATATATATATATATATATAGAAAGAGAGAGAGAGATACCTTCTATCACAGGATGTGCACCCCAGGATTTTTCTTGTGAATGTAGCTTAGAAATTAGTTCAGTAGCGGATTTACAGCTTGAATTAGAACTGAAAATGATATTATAGAAAATAAACAACGGAATAGATAATAATCAAAATTATTATCAAGAGTTATTACCTATTAAGATGTTTTAATGGAGGCAACATTTTATTTGTTGTAAAAGGAAACTCTGCAATATAAAAATATAAATCATCAATATCATCATCATCATTGTCATTAAATCATCATTATCATCAATATCATCATCATCATTGTCATTAAATCATCATTATCATCAACATCATCATTTCTTGTAATTTTCTTACCAGAGGTAACTTTGGAAAAACTCAAAGAACTTTCATTAGAATCTAAATTGAAAATAATCCTATTATATTTCAAATATGAACGTTCAGTTGTTATGTCTACTTGACTGCTTAAATAAAATAGAAAATAAAACGAAAATATAAAAATTTACTTGACATTGCTGATGACATAGGACTAAATAAATTATTAGCTTTATTTGTTTGTCCTTTTGGATTTTCTGAAGTCGATCCACTATAGTAAATTCATAAATTTTTAATTTTATTATACTGTCATTGTAAAAAAATGTAAAAAGTATAACGCAGTATAAGTTTTATAGGGCTTCATACTTTTGGTAATATCAACTTATCTAGTAACTGAATGTGAAACTAGTTAATATTTAAATAAAATTCTATAACGATACCAGATTTAAAAACTACAAATAAAAATAATGTATTACCATTCATAACGAGAAGTTAAGAATTTTTTTCTACTTTCTGGTGCTTTTTCCTCAAATGAAGACGAGTCTTTAGCCTGTTTGGCCCTTGTTTTTGCTGTTTTTTCATCATCTAAATCATTGCAATATAATTATAAGATAAAACATTTCTAACAACAACTTAATGCAAAAAACTATTGAATACTGATTGCAAAAAATAATTGTTAAAAATATAATATCTATAAAATATACAAATAGAAATTTAGTTAAATTAGTTACTGACCAACTGCTTCTCCTAGTATTCGCACGCCAACCAAGCTCCAATCATCTCCGGGAATTTCACACTTGGTTCTCACCCGATTAATTCTTGTTCCTTTGTATGGGGGCCACCAACATTGGGTCTCTCCGACTAGCCAACATTCGCACACATAATCCACACTGCCATCTTCCTCTATGAATTCAACTATGTAAAATGATGTCATCTTAAAAAAACTATAAAATTTTATAATAGAATCATTTATTAACTTTATTTAATAAAATTTATTTCTGAGATGTTTCTCAACTTCTAAATGTTTATGTAATTGTTTTTTTTAATATTTTGATAAATGTTAATAAAATTTATAAACAGTGTTATGATTATAAAAATTTCAGGTTAAAAAGTGATAACATCAAGAAAATAATTTTTTAAATACAAATAAATTGCTGCTGATATTATAACATAAATAACAAATTTATTAGGCATAAAATTAACCACAAGCTTATTTTCCAAAATAGTCAATAGATGGAAAAGGAAAAATTATTAGAGTATTGTCGCACTGTGTAAAAGCAACACACTTCCGAATTACTTTAGATTTTAAAACATGTCCCGTTGGCAGTAAATACACTCCAATATGTAACAAATTAAAAGATTGTAGGTAAGAATAAAAATCTCTACATTTTTCCATTAAAAAACCTGACCCAATCATTGTATTACTATCTAATGATTGAAGCTGCATAATTCCGTTTTCTGTTAAAAAAAATTGATCATTTGGATTTTTTGACCATGCAAGTACTCTACGAGTTTGTGAATAATTCAAAATTTCAAGCTCACTAACCCGATTTACGGCCTGACTTAAAAGATTTGAAGTGCCACGAAATCTTTTTCTTAAAACACCATAGTAACTTTCTGCCCAAAATGCAGACCAAAACCCAAGATTGACATACTTCTCTATATACTCAGGAATATGAAGAAGCACATGGACATTATACACTAAATGATGTCGACCATATAAAGATTTAATTCCAGAAACATAGCTAATTAATGCTTCATTGCCATCATGTATCATATTCTTCCAATTATCACAAGAAAAAGCATAAATGGCTGAGTGTAAAAACATAAAATGATTGTACTCTGTAGTAGGCAGTACAGCTTTAAGGGCTACAGGACCTACAAACAAAAGGAAAATTCTCAATTCAACAGCTTTCCATAACCTTATCTCATCAATCGATCTTGGGTGTCTTGAAAATTCTGAAGGAAGGCATTTTCCTAAAATACAAATAAAATTTGACAGCAAATTTTTACTTGAAGGAACCAGTCGACCTTTTCCTCTAATCTCACAACACCAAATGAGTAACAATTGACGCATATTTCCAAGATATAACAGATGCATTGGATCAGGTGGGAAACATGTTACCATTGGAACTATTGTGACTAAGGGAGACTCTCTCAGTTGGTGTCCATTTCTTTCCAAATTTGAAAACTGTTGATCAGTGCGTTGCACACCAATAGTTTCAGAAAAAACAATTTTTTTAAATTCTTTAATGTAAAACCCTTCATCTTGGCAATAATCACAAGAAAAGTATCCTCCACATTGTTTTGTACCTTTACAAAATGCCCTGGCTGGTGCATCACAAACGAAGAAAAGAATTTTAATTCTTATTTTTGGATAAAGGGTTTTTATATTTTTGGACACTTGGGTAAAATCAGTAATAAATGGCAAAAAAAAATCAACTAATGAATCCGGCTTTGAAGAACCAATGTGTATACCTGCAACAAATGGAGTTTGATCTAGAGATTCATTTACTCTACAAAGTATAGGCCACATTGATTTGTTGGTAGAATTTTGAAGCTTAACACCATCTACATTTATTGCTAGCGATACAAGAGTTTCTCCACCGTCAACATAAACATCCTGCTTTAATTTTTGATACTGAGATCCTTCAGGAATCAATTCAGCATTTAGCCCAGCATCAATTCTATTTTTTATATTATCTTGAATTCCAAAATAGTGGTACGATTTGTTTGCATTTGTATAATTTTTATTATAACATTTGATCTTTCTAAGTAAAGTGGCAGCGCAAATGGGTAAATTATTATCAGGACCAATAATTTTTAACAACGCTGAAAATGCATTTTTTGATACATTATACTGTATATACCATAAAATGAGTTTGTCTTTTAATGAAAGCTGCTCTAAGTTAGAATTTTCCAAGTTAGAGTTTTGGTCATCATCTTGACTTAAATCGTCTAAACTTTGGAAAAAATCGTGATCATTTGAAAAATTAAAGTTATTTAAAAACTTGTCAGCATTTTCATGGTAAGTTGCCTCATTTTTAAAATCAACAGCGGAATCGTCAACTTGAGATATAGAAGGTGAATCTGTAGAGCAGTCTAAAAGCATATTATCTTCCCTTTTATTGACTTTATTGACAAAATAATATTTCTTTTGTGCCCCCTAAAAAATAAAATGTAAAAATTTAAATTATAAAGAATAGCTGACTTATTTAAAAAGAATAAAAGAGAAAAAAATAATCATTGTATTATTATTGTATATGCCATGCATTACATGTCACGTTCAATAATGATAAACATTCTTACTATAGTAAGAATTAGTACTAATTAACAAATTTGAACAAATGAGAAAATTAGTGAAATTAATGAATGAAAAAATTATAACTTGAGCTTGAACTAAAACTTGAATTTGAACAAATTAGTACTGACTTGTTTATGCATAACCTTATAAATAAGTTTAAATAATAAATTATATGTATAACTATCAAAGGCTATAGGTTATATATATATATACCTTTGTATAACATATACGTATATATATATATATATATATATATATATACACATTTATATATATATATATATATATATACAAATATATATATATATATATATATATATATATATATATATATATATATATATATATATATATATATATATATATATATATATGTATAATACCTATGTATAACATATATACCTATCAGGGCGTTAGCCAGACATAAATTTTAAACCGCGTTTTTGCTGTATTGGGAATATTTATTGTTGCTGTTCTAGAAAATATGAGAAATTTTCTAGAAATTGTCCTAAAAAACTATGTATGCTATGTATAACATTTTAAATCATATTAATTTATTTATATATTACATTTACATATTAATTTATATATTTACTTTGAAAACCGGACCTAGAGTCTTTATTGAAAATTGAAAGTTTCTGTAAATCTCTTGTTTTTGTTCCTCAATGTAGTTCATAAGTCCCTTAAGTCTTAAGGACTATACAAAATTTAAAGTTAAGAGTTTTAGAGCCTAAAAAAAAGTTACAAAATCCCATCCTTTCTTCCCCCTATTTTTTTATTTTTCAATAAAAAAAGGGAGTTCTTAGACTTTAAAAATTGGATTTCTTTTTGGGACACTGCATATTTGGTTTTTGACAAAATTTAAACTTGCATCAGTTAATTGAGTGAAGATAGCAGATAATATAATCAAGAACTGTATTCAAATAACTATTATATTATCATAATAATAAGTCTATTTGCACAAAAAATTCTTATTTCTATAAAGACAGATACAAATTATTCGTGGTGCTTACATACTTGCTTGCCATTTTTTAAAATAATATAATATATCTTTATACTTTAAAAATGATTTTTTGAAACAATATGAAACCTCTACTCGCCGCGAAAAATAGTGATGGTTTCCAGGCTTCAATTAAAATCCCACGTAAATCCCACATGTACCCTATGTGGGATTTCCCATGTGGGAAAATACCATATGGATCCCACATGTAACCCATGTGGGATTACCCATATGGGTTTGAAGTGGCAAATTTCCATACGGATACCACGTGGGATTACCCATGTAGGTAAATACCATATGGTTCCCACATGGAACCCATGTGGGATAACCCATATGGGTTTGACGTGGCAATTTTCCATACGGATACCACATGAGAAAATCCGTCCCACATAAATCCCATGAACCCACATGGAACCCATGTGGGACGCGGTTTTATTTTTCACTGGGTTGTGGCACAGCATATGAACAACAATTTAGAAACATATGGCCTATAGAATCTCTATAGAATTTACATAAAATGTTTATTAATTTCTATAGAAATTGCTATAAAACTTTTAGCAACAAAAATGAAGTTTAATAGATACAACGGTCACTTGGTGTTATGAATAGTCAACATTGTTGACCATTTTCAGCACCAAGTAGGAATGTACAGGATTTTGGCTCCTGTAGTTTTGCTTCGAAATCCGGATCCAATTTCGGCCGGATCTTTAGTAGAAATCCGGCAAATCCGGCTCCAATTTGTAAAAAATTAAATCCGGTACAGCCCTAATTAAAACTCCAGTAATACCAGTAATACATGCATTGAATCAAACAGTAATTGCACTTGAAACATCGTTAAAAGAATATTTTCGAGTCCAAAACGTCAACACACACAAAAAAAATACTGACATAAAAAGAGTAGAGTGTGAATGCCAAAATGAAGCTGAAATTCTAGAAAGGCTACAACAAGCTGAAGAATTTAAAAAAAAATTGCAAACCTGAATTTAATGTATTACAACAGTGCACTGTTATTGTAACTACTTTTTTTTTAATAATTCAAATTAGATTAGCAGTTGTAAACTAAATTGATTTTTATTAGAAAATTAGAAATAAAAACCAAATGGGCTTTAAATGTTATTAGGTTATTTTCACATTTATCAAAACTTTGATATTTTTATTTTATGTGCTCTGTTACAAAGTATTATGCATTAAAGAATTAATCATTCAAAACCTATGAGAAAGAGGAATGCAAGACAAGTGACCTCCTTTATACCACAATCCAACACACTTTTTAGCAATTTGGGTGTAATGAGTGCACTTTAAATTTGAATCTGGTCTGGATAAAGAATATATATATACTCCTCCTCCTCAGTTGCAATTCGGTTAGATTTTTGCAATTTAATAAATGTATTTTTACCGATCATTAATGATTCATCAACATTCTTAACGTTAATAATTATAATTGGCCTTTAATGACATTTATAAAAATGAAATATGTTTTTATTATATACCATATTTTGTTTTGAAAAATATTTGATATTACTAATATGTTTATAATGCATTACTTGTGCATAGTAATTCAAAATGGATTTCTTCAAAATACATCATCTACTATCTGCTCTTTCTCCTAATCATTTTTTAGTATCGATTGTATATATACGATTTATTTTTTAGTAAAGAAGGTTGGTTTAAAGTTTTTTTTTTAACTTGATAGTTTTACAATTTTAAAGTTTAAATTATGGTTTGCAAGCTGTCTGTTTGCATATGTGTGCATGTAAAAATCATGAACCAATTTAAGTTTAAATATTTAAATAAACAACCAAACTACACTACCATTATCAATATTATCGCCAGTGCTTACTAGAGCACTGCAAGTAGAGCAGTTATCACCTGATTTAGTTAATCATCATGTTGGAGATGTGTTTTATTTATTTATGCATTAGCAAATGATAAATTTGTTTGTTCATATGAATTTAAGATAAATAGAAAATATTTTGTTACTTTTGTTACTATTATTTTTATTAAAGTATTATTATGCGTATTTAAAAAATATATATATTTATTTTATTTTTCTTCACATTTAGAAAATGATCGTTGGCAACTAATATTATTAGAAGTGATTAAACAAAATAATCAAACAATACTTTTTCTGCAACAATTTTTAGCACAACAACAGTGTGGCAATATAGAAACAAGTTTTGATGAGTTTGGGCTTCCTGTTTCATCAATGGAACAATTACCAAGCAGATTGCCTTGACAATGACCTCCAACGAAAACTTGTAAGATATTTGCTATAATTGTTTAGTTCCTCTATTCAAGTTAATTTAAATTTTTTACATAGTAAATAATATCTTTTAAATTGTTTTTCCCCTGTTAGACACATTACTTAGGTCAGTGCGGCGGAACAACTATCACTGAATCAATTAGAAATGTTATAAAGCGGTTGATGTCAAACAGAAAAGCAGTAATTTGTAATTGAAAAGGAAAAAGGGGAAAATATTCCTTTGGCAAGAGCAAGCTTTGTCAAATTATAAACAGTGCGTTATTTTTTTTTCGTTTTAAAAGGTCATTCCTTCATCTTATTATTGACGTTTTTTTATGAATGAAAGTAAATGAGTTTATAGTTAACACTTATAAGTGTGTATGCATAATACATATTTATTTTATTTAGATGTCGTTTGGCGTAATCCTACAACATGTCGCGGTACGGATACCGAGGTTGCTTGTGCCATTAAAGCATGGCTTCGATTCGCCAAAGATTGTGATGAGGGAGGAGAAGAAACATATCATTATAACTATTTAAGTTATATAGTTTCATATATAGTTTATTATCTTTTTGTAGATTTGTATAATAGTTTAAATAGATTTTTAAGGAATAAACATTTAGCTAGAAACCAATAAATTTATTATTAAAATTATCTTTAAATACTTCTACGTTTTCAACTTTCATAATAACGTCGATTCAATGAGTATCAAATCATCCCAGCCGGCACACAACGCGAACATTGAAACAATGCTTGAAGTTTTCGGCTAACGTTGTATAATGCAAATACAATATAAAACTAAATGTATAAATGCAAATACAATATAAAACTAATAGTGTGTCAACGCATTGCCAACAACATTGAGTATACACGATGCCGACATAGGCCCAATGGTGGCCAATCGTATGCCAACGCAACTCCAAACTTTAAACAATATTACGCCAACATAGCCCCTACAAACCCACACTAACAGTGTGCCAATATAAAATTAACATCTTGCAAAATGCGTTATGCCAACGTGTCGCTTACTGTTTCACTTGGTTAACAATTTTAAACCACAAGTGAGCCAACGTTGCGCCAACAATGTTGAGTGTATGCTGTACTAACGTAGGCACGATGGGCAGCCATATGCAAGCACAACGCCAACTACGGCTTACCAAAACGCCTCGTTGGCCCAACAATCAAAAACACGTTAGGCCAACGTTGGGCTTACTAAGTTGTACTGCTTGGAAAGATAACATCTTCCCGAGCAACAAATCTTGTAAATTATTCCTACTATTTTGTAAATGAATTTTTTTCTGTTTGTAAATTGTTTTTATTATAACTAATTTAATTACGAATACTTTAACACGTTAAAGTAAACATTTTTATTTTTCAAATAAACTCATTTTACTAAAAAACTTTCCATCATTTTTTTTTTATTTTACATACTTGGATAGAGCTCATTTTTCTCAAAAAAAAAATAAAAATAAAGAAATTTTAAAATCATTTTACATTATAAAAAAAAATTAATTATTAAGATAAGTGTTCAGTTTTACCCCGTTTTACTCTATTATTTTAATTTTTTAATTTTAAACAGAGTAAGAAATCAGAAGAAGAAAGTTTTTTTCCGTAAAAACCGAACAAAGAAATAATTCTTTGCTATAAACCTACCCAAATACTCGTTTTTAGATAAAAACTTGATATATGAGGAAATCGTAATCGTAAATTTCAGATAAAAAGTACGAATTTTTGATAAATTAAAACTTCAGATAGACTTTTGATCTCAACTTATAACTTTTTTTCATGCTGGATACTAATGCTTTAAAGTAATTTTTATGATATAGAAAATAATTACAGATCACTTCTAGTTTGGCAGGAAGGCCTTACAACCCTGATTTTATCAAATGTCAAGTGATAGCAATGACCTTTTTGTCTTCTTTTCATGTTTATGACAACTTTTTTAAATTGGAGTTTCTTTGAATCGTTTTTACCATCCTAGTAGATTCAAGCAAAGCTGAAACCATCTTTCAGAACCTGAAACAAATTTTGAGATATTTACGTACTAAGTCAAGTTTCAAAACACTTTTGCGGCGACTGAAATTTGCTAAAACTATGGATTTAGACGAACCACCTCTACCAAGGAAAAGGAATGTACCTTCAAGATTTGAGTTCGACATCAGGGATACTTATTACTAGCCAAAGGACCCAAATGAGATCTTCAACCATATAGCTTTGCCGGTTTAGATGCAGTTTTAGTTGGCCTCACCGATAGATTTGAATCAAGTGAATCTATTCGTCATTTAACAAGAATTGAAGAACTTGTGAATGGATCAAATTTGTGAATGGATCAATTTTGTGAATGGATCAAATTTGTGAATGGATCAAATTTGTGAATGGATCAAATTTGTAAATGGATCAAGTTTGTGAATAGATCAAATTTGTGAATGGATCAAATTTGTGAATGGATCAAATTTGTGAATGGATCAAATTTGTGAATGGATCAAATTTGTGAGTGGATCAAATAACACTGAATGCAGTATCGGCTACATAAAATACTTCTACTTTGTCATTTTCATTGACAAAGCTAAGAGAAAAAGTTCATTTTGAAGATTTTAAATTAGCTCTAGATTTCATCTGCACTAAAGAACAAATTCGATTAGGAAGCATTGCCTCTTAAATTGTCCGTTTTATCAAAATATTTCTGGTCCAGCAAGTGTCAATTTGTACAACAAAACAATTATTTAGTAGTCTGCGTAGACTAGTAAATAGTTGTTTTGTTGAAAAATTTTCTTCGATTGACCATGAGCTGAGCACTGTTTCTCCAATGAATACCCATAAAGAAATTACCCGGAGTTATGGAATGGAGTTTTTGTTAGATATGTTTATTTAAAAAAAGAAACACGCCGTAGAATGATTTATTTGACAACTAAGTAGAATTCCATCTCTACTTGTTTTACTTTAATTTATTCATGCGAGTTAACCAAAATTAAAAGTTGTTATTTTTTTTATTTCTATATCAAAAATAATAAACACTGGATAGTAAACATACATTGCTCAAAAAAATCGAACCTTTAACTTTTGCCCCCCTTGAAAATATGAGTACTCTCTACACCCATGTATATATATATATATATATATATATATATATATATATATATATATATATAAATATATATATATATATATATATATATATATATATATATATATATATATATATATATATATATATATATATATATATATATATATATATATATATATATATATATATATATATATATATAAATGTCTTTTTATATAATTGGATTAGTCATTTTGAAAAATGTTTGTTTAAAAATATTTACACGTGACACAAATGTTTTCCATTGTTTTCCCATATATATTATAACAATTGACAGTGCAAATATCTTGGCTTTTAAACAATCAGTTAAACGTCCATTTTTTACTTGATACTTGATATCTTTCTTTTTATTCAAAGTTAAAGACGTACGCTTTAAATAAGTTCGAGTGTTGAAAAATGGTTTTAATAATATATTTTTCTCTACTTTTTTTAGTGGTGAGGAAGAAAAAATCTCACATCTCGTTTGGTTCAATATAGGTAATTTTTAGATTTTAAATTGGGTTTCATTTTTTAGAATAATTGAATTTTGTTTTAAAATTTAATGCACGTATTTTATTTTTAATGTTGTTAGCTTGATTGTCTTTTATTGTTAATGTGAATAAAAAGCCACTCTTCTAACTTGGTAAAGCGGAATGAGTTTTCACTCAAATAAAAGTATTAATAAAGATTCATATAAATAAATACTTCAAAAAATAAAAAATATCTCGTTTAATTAACACGTTAAGCGATAAGCATATTTAACATAAAATGAAATAAAATTTCTTGAAATATTCTACATTATCTTCAGTTTTATTCATAATTACTATAGAAATGTTTCATTTTTGAAGGATGATTAATGTATGTCTTGTTTTATTTATTTATTTATTCATTTTAACACCCAAATTACAGGTAAAAAAACAAATTGTATAAAACTAATAATTTATACTTTCAGTGTAAAAATATAAATTTATCTTGGGATGTTTTCCTCCATCAACTTAGTAAATACCAGTATTTGTTCTCTGATATTCCAGAATTCAAAAGAATGGTTCAAAATTGCCCTATGAAAGAGAGTAAAGCGCATTAGCGGCTATGAAAGAAAGTAAAGCTAGTAGTCTTTTTTCTAATTTTGAGATAATTTAGTTGCTTTGGAAACACATGTGTGTCCATAGCATTCAATTATTTCAGTAATACAGAAATTTCTAAAATTCCAATGCAATCTATAAAGCACTTTATTTTCGCAGTCAAAATGTCACTTGGTTATGCAAATTTTCATTAGTGCAAATTGCTACCATCTTGAATTGAAGGGGCAAACAAACGATTGAGTTAATAAAACAGGAAAATTAGTACGCAAAAGTGAATTAAAGATTTTTAAAAAAAAAAAGTCGAGTATTTTGAATAACTCAATTTTAACGCCGCAGAACAGCATATACACAAACTTGCAATCCTTTGAATCAATTTTTGTCGATTCAAGTTCCATTCAAATACTTGGAAAGATGACCTAACTGAATAGCTATGAGTTCAATTGAATGATATTTATTATTATTTAATTAATAATAAATATCATTCAATTAATAGCCCTAGAATAATTTATTTTGAGGCTATAGATAATTACAAAGCATTAAATGCTTATAAATAGTTTGTTTCTGGCTAGATACAGAAAATTTTTCACACAACATTGAGCTCTGGTTTTGTTGTTTTGAAAACACAAGTTGTCACCAGATTTGACTTGAAACATCAAAACCATCAAGCGAAACATATATATATATATATATATATATATATATATATATATATATATATATATATATATATATATATATATATATATATATATATATATATATATATCAAGCGAAACATATATATATATATATATATATATATATATATATATATATATATATATATATATATATATATATATATATATATATATATATATATATATATATATGTATATATATATATATATATATATATATATATATATATATATATATATATATATATATATTTATATATATATATTATATTATATTTTAATATATATGTAGACCACACGGGTAAAACCAAATACAAGTGCTAAATACAAGTATTATATATTCACAGTGTTCTTTTGAAAACAAGACACTTATTTTGGACATCTGTGGTTTTTCCGTTTTAAACTCATCAACTCATAATATATGTTAGCTTGTAACCTTTTAGAATACTTATGTTTTTAAAAGTAGATGGTAACATATTGTAATATATTGTAATATAACACATTGTAATATAACTAAAACGTACTAAGTGTGGGATGGGATAATAAAGCCATCCCCCCCCCCCCTCCCACACTCTTGTAATAAAAAAAAAATTTAAATAAAATATTATATGAAAGTTATTTTTTTAACAAAAAAAATCAACAGAGTTATGTATGCTTGTTTCAGTTTATCAGGCACTTCGATCATTAATCTAAACAAGTTGGATGTAATACACACAAAATTATATATTTCCATTTTTCCATACAATTAAATTTTAACTTTTAATATTTGATAATTTTTAATAATTCAATTTCTCTAAGTGAACATGTCTTAAATGAACAAACAACCAAGAAGTTTGGCTTTGAAACTGCAAAGTTCAGAAATTTTTCTTGTGTCATGTTTATATACATTATTGAATTGTTATGGTTTTTTGTGAGATCGTCTAGTGTTTCTGCAAGAAACTTTTGATTTGCAATGGCCAATGTTTCTGTCATATTTTAGTTCTAATTGGTAATGAAACAGTAATGCAGTCAAGTTTTTCAGTTTTATAACCTAGATAATAAAATAAAATTAAAACTTTTCCTTTTGTATTTTGCCTAGCACGTAAATTGAAAATCAAAATAATTATAAAATATGTTTTATAGACCCAATACAGTTTTTTTAGATTTTTCGTTTTAGTTTGAAATGTTAAATATTTTAACGTAATCTAGAACTTTTGACCTGCAATGTTAATTTTGTTCTCTAAAATACTATTTGAACTAACAGGTAAATAATAAGATCATTTTTTACTGAAACTGGATGCAGAGGTAATTTGACGGAAGGGAAGGGTGCGTGTGACGGTGAGATTTTTGTTTTGAGGACCTTTTTGTATTAATTTTTTTTTAAGCACCAGTCGGTAAGTTTTAAAGATACCCCCCCCCCCTCATTTTATTCGTAGAATCTGACTGATGATGTTCAACTGGTGGTTTCCTTTTGAAACCAAAAAAGAGAAAAGGATTTGGAAAGTTAAAAATAATATGAATTGCCAATTGTAATGTACACTTATCCATTATTTGTAGAATAATGCATTGTATTTTCATAATTTACCTCTAAAAGTTAAACAGTAAAAGAATATGTTTAAAAATACTAGAATATAAATTTCATAAACTTTTATTAAAGTAAAAAAAGGTTTTAAATACAGCATATTAATTAAGTTGCATTTTTTTGTCTTTAATAAAACGAAAAAATGAAATTCTGTACAGTTTTTTCCACTCTTATTTCCACAGTTTATAGCAGCACAAAGTTATTGTTTTAAATAAAGATCTAAACTCTTTTAGATGTTTTAGACAAAAGTAATCATTACTTGTTATTATATACTTTCTGTGGTACGGCTAGACATTCCAGAAAACTTTGCAATAAAATTACATCGAGTCATAAAATTATACATGATTTTAGTAGTAGTAGTAGTAGTAGTAGTAGTAGTAGTAGTAGTAGTAGTAGTAGTAGTAGTAGTAGTAGTAGTAGTACTAGTAGTAGCAGTAGTAGTAGTAGTTGTAATAGTAGTAGTAGTAAAAACCATAATTTATAATTTATACATTTAAAATTTACAAGTAAATTGTATTATCTTTTAGCACCACATCATTTCGAAACTAAATGGAATCAAATCAAGAACGTTGTCATGAATTTGACTTTTTTAAAGGTAACTTTTCATTTACACGCCGAATATTTTTTATTCAACGTTTCAATAATTGCTACAATTATTATTTACTTAACATATAGTGTATATCGCAAATATTTAGCTGAGGAAAATTAAATGATTTTAAAAGCATTAAAAAATCGACCATAGTATTTATATAGAAAATTGAATACTTGCTTTTTAGTGGTCATATAAGAAGTTATTTATATGCTGCGTATCATAAAAAAAACTTATTGACAGCTATCTATTTGAATGTATACAAAATAAGTATCGTTTAATTAATTAACATTAAATATTAACTTTTATAACAATATAAAAAAAAACTAACTTTCAATAGCTATTTTTTTTTGAAGCAATATAAATATTAAATAAGCTATATAATTTTTTTTTTTTTTACAATTTTGTAAATCAAGCTTTTAAAAATGTGGCGGGATACATGATAAGAGCGTCAAAGCAAAAATTAAAACCAGGACTGTTGGATTAGCCTTGATGACTATTTGTGGCTGTTCCTATGTTAAGCCAACAATATCTTCGGATATAAGAACATTGTATAGAAAAATATAGCATGAAAAACTCAAATAAATAAATAAAAGAAGAAGACTTTAAAGTCTCTGAAAGCTTCGATCTATTTTGTCATTAAACTTTGGAAGCTTTGACCTTTTTTTTCATCAAACTTCTTAGAACAAAACACTTCCTAGTGGGATTCGGCTCCGATCTCAGAAACCTTGTCAAAATAGTTTATGTTAGTGGTCTTTATTGAGGCAATTTAATTATAGAATTTTTCAAGTTTCTTGTTTTCGTATTCCAAAGCTTTCAAATAAAACATTCAAATTGCCAGGTTGTTTGAATTTGTGACATGATGACTGTCAATAACTTTTTTGTGCACAGAAGACTTGTAATACCGGTGGTTATGCTTTAAAAAAAATGCTAGAAAAAACACAAAAACTTGATTAGATCAAGTTTGACCTTCTTTTCAGAATTCAGAACGCAAAGCTACTTTCTCTATGCCTAGCACTACAATATTTTTTTAATAATCATAGTAATTGATTTAAATAAAGAATTAATTATGTACAGGCCCGCAGTCAAAATTTCACCAGCGTTTCATCATATCCCATTATTGCAATAAGGTTTACCAATACAAACGTTACAAGATTACCAATACAAACGCAAAAAGTAGTTAATTTTGTTTTTTTATTGATTTCACAAATTTTCGTGAAATTTGAGAAACGAAGCCCGAGGGGCCTCTACAGTCAAGAAGGCTGCTCTTTTTTTAATAAAAAAACAAACACAAAAAAAATATATATATAGCTAGGAATATACTAAGCCAATTTTGACCTATGGTAGATTTTAGCAAGTATTTTACAAACTTTCAGATTTATTTTCAAATGCAAGCTCTCGTGCTTAATCTATGATTGATATTTAAAAAAATATGAATTCAATTCCTAAGTATCATGGTACCATTACAGTCAAGGAGATTTCTTATATTTAGATTTATTGTTTTAAAAAGTTATCATATTAAAAAATAAATAGTCTCACTTTTAAATTTTTTAATTTTTTATACTCCTATAAAATTTAAAAATAATTTATAACCATCGGCCTATGACTCTTGTTTTAAAAACAATCGTCATCAATCCTACTTTTAATTAAGCACCCCTACTTTTTAACAGAATTGCAAATTTGGAATTTACTTTCGATTAAAGTATTTAATTGTGTGCACGGTGCATACATTATTATTATTGAATTAATGCAATATTTATGTCAAGAATTATTTTTAATTTTTTAAAAATTTTATAGGAGTATAAAAAATTAATAAATTTAAAAGTGAGATTATTTATTTTTTAATTTGATATTTTTTTGAAACAATAAATCTAAATATGAGAAGTCTCCTTGACTGTAATCAGTGCCGGCCTTAGGGAAGGGGGGGGGCGAGGTTAGGCGCCTCCTAAGGGCGCCAGGAAACTGGGGCGCCAAACGTTGTATGCAAACTTTAACAATATAATAAATGGAAAAAATAAGTCAACCTAAATTTTCTTCAATTTCGATTTTTGATTTTTTGTTATTTTTTCGAATGTTTGTTTTTTTTATAAAAATAATTTCTTTAAATAATTTATTTATTGTATTATTACACTGTTAAAAACTCTTTATGCAAAATTAATAATTTGATTAAAAGTGTTTCAATCATAGCATATATTTTGTTACTTAAATTCATTTTTTTACTCGTATCTTTCTCGGCGCCAATTATTTTGCGTTCCATTTATTTAAAGTTTAAATTTTAAGCATTATTTTCCGCACGAGTCGCGAGCGCGTTGTATATTAATTTGTAGAAGAAATTTAAAGTTGTATTTGTGATTCAAATTCAGTTATTGTCAAGTTTTTAAATTTTGCGGTAATAAAAAGCAGGTAAGTATAAATAATGAAATTGTTTATGAATTATTAGCTTGCGAGTTGTATTTTATTTTAAAATTTTAGACAAATAGAAACTGTCAGCAGCAATCAATGGAGAGTACTCATAATAAAGAAAAAAATGTTTTTAAAACTCATAATAATAAGAAACCATCTGGTGCTCAATACAGAAAACGTAAAGCAGAAAAAGTTGATAATTTGAAGAAAAATTATAAAAAACTTGAAAATTTTATTACATCGGAAAATAGTGATTGTAATAAAATAAAGGAAGGAAAAAAGGTTGCGCATGTACTTAGTGATACATCAACCAGCGATGAAGAAGACGGAATTATGTCAGTTGGAAATGTTCACTACGATGAAAAAGATATCGATAACGAAAATGATGATGGCCAAGATGGTGATGTAAATGATCGCACCAAAAAAACAGCAATCAATTACTCAGACTGTGGTTTGTGGCCAATTTATCGCAACATTCAATTTGTTGATTAATTAATTAATATAGGTGCAATACAAGTGATTTTGGACACATATCCACGCGATAATAGAAGACAACATTTTTCAAATGCTTATTACAACCGAAAACTTTCAAATGGTGAGGTTATTTCACGACGTTGGCTTGTGTACTCAGTTTCTAAAGATGCGGTATTTTGTTTTTGCTGCAAACTTTTTGATTTCAACATGAATTTAAAGTTAAACGGAAATGGATTCAATAAATGGAAGAATTTAACAGAAGCATTAAAAATTCACGAAAATAGTAAGTCACACAGAATTGCTTATCAACTATGGATTGAGACAGAAATACGAGTGAAAGTTGGTGAAACTATTGATAAACAAGAACAAAAACTAATCGAAAAGGACAGTTTAAGGTGGCGAAGTGTTTTTGAACGATTGATAAACATTACTTTATAGATAAATTGTATGCAGTTAATAACGGCAAATTTTTAGGATTGGTACAATTACTCGCTAAATTTGATCCTATCATGTTAAACCACGTCACGCTAGCTCTTAAAGGAGATATTTCTGATCATTACTGTGGAAAAACCATTCAAAATGAAATGATAGATTTGATTGCATCAAAAGTAACCAACATAATTATATCCAAAGCTCTAAAAAGAACATATTTATTCTATTATTGCTGACTGCACTCCTGACGTATCTCACAAAGAACAGTAAAAAACAAAAATCGTAAGCTCTCGCTTACGATTAGAATTGTAAATATATCAGAATATCCTATAAAAATAAATGAACACTTTCTTGGGTTTTTCAATGTTAACGACACGACAGGTCTTGGTTTAACGGAAATCATAATTGGAGCTTTAAAAGATTTTGGACTGAATATAAGCTTTTGTCGAGGGCAAGGTTACGATAACGGTGCAAATATGAAAGGTAAAAAAATAGGTCTACAAAAGCGAATATTAGATTTGAATCCTTTGGCATTTTACTTTCCATGTGGAAGTCATTTCCTCAATTTAGTTATTTTTGACGCAGCGCAGTCTTCACTAAATTCCATTAACGTTTTTGGCATAATACCAAGATTATTCACATTATTTTCTGCATCAACTTCACGCTGGAATGTTTTACTTAGTCATACAACAAACTTCACGCTTAAACGATTATGCGACACTTGTTGGGAAGCCAAAATTGAGAGCCTCAAAGCCATCCGATACCAAATAAGCAGCGTACATGATGCTTTAATTACTATATATGAAACTGAAACCAAAACTCCCGATATTGCACACGAAGCGCAAACATTAGCAGAACAATTAAAAGACTATAGTTTTTTAGTTTCTTTAATTGCATGGTACAATGTACTATTCCAAATAAACGTTGTTAGTAAAGCAATGTAAGCCAAAGACATGGATCTAGTACAGTGCGCTGAAATGTTGAAAAAATGCATCACATTTTTGGAAAATTACAGTACGTTTGGCTTTAAACAAGCAACGGTTGATGCCAAAGAGTTAGCTGAAGAGTTAAACATCCTTGAAAATGAAATAAATACAAAAGAGATGACACCACTTTTTGTACTAAATTTTATTAAAAAACATTGTCTACAAGAGTTATATTCAAATTCATGGATTGTTCTGCGCATTCTTCTTACAATACCTGTTACTGTTGCTAGTGGAGAACGTAGTTTTTTTAAACTGAAGTTAATCAAAACATATTTAAGAAATACCATGTTAAAAGATCGACTTAATTCTCTATCTATGTTATCAATCAAGCAAGATATAGCTGAAAATTTAGATTTTTCTAGTTTGATAAGAGATTTCGCGGACAAAAAAGCTAGAAAAGTTAGATTTTAAAATTTAATAACTGTTGTTTATATAGTTACAGTATTTATTATATGTTTAATAAAAACATTTGTTATTTTAAAAGCAGCGTTGCGTTGTCTATTTAATTAGTCACTCATTTCTATAAACCCATATCTTAAAAAGTCTAAGTTTATAATTTTAATAAAAAATTAATTAAATAAGAAACTTAATGCACAATATGAATCTCTTTGCATTAAACTATATACTCCCTTTAGCACTCTTGTTCATCATTTTAGAGCATTGGTCTCGTTGTTAATGGTAACAACCCATATATACCAGGGGCGCATTCACATATTTGGCCAACCTGTCAAAAAAGCTAAGGCCGGCGCTTACTGTAATAGTACCATGATTCTTAGGAATTAAACTTATATTTTTTAAAATATCAAGCATAGATAGAGAACTAGGGCTTGTATAAGTTGCTTTCATTTGAAAATAAATCTGAAAGTTTGTAAAATACTTGCTAAGATCTGCCATAGGTCAAAATCTTTATATGTTATAATATATTAACAAAAATGTAAATATAAATATAATAGTTAACGTTCATAAACGCACCTCCCAGTTGACACAGGACCTAAAAAAGAAGTCTTTTTAATGTTCGAAAGACGTCCTAAACGTTCAAAATACGCCTTAGGTATGTCTCGTACGCCCTGTGCTCTGATGCTAAGGTTGCGTAATTCTAAGAAGTGAGTTACACCTAATCTACACCACAGATGTTCACGCCACCAGAATGCCACCTTATCACTTATTGACTTTTCAAGACTTAAATGCCATGACATGAACTTCGTTGACAAGTGCCATTTTGCAGCGGACAAAACAAGTGCAACCTTTTAGGTTTGTTTCATTTTCTTAAGTCTGGTCACGTGACGTTGACACGGACCAGACTTAAGAAAATAAAACAAGTCTAAAAGGTTGCAATTGTTTTGTCCGCTGCAAAATGGCACTTGTTTTGTCAAATGCCATTTTGCAGCTATCATCACAAGTATATATATATATATATATATATATATATATATATATATATATATATATATATATATATATATATATATATATATATATATATATATATATATATATATATATACTTGTGATGATACAATAATGCTCTGTAGAACACAAGACGTTGTGTTCTACAGAGCATTATTGTATCATCACAAGGTAAATGTAACACAGTAAGCCTTGAGAAGCGTGATTATTTTTTTTTATTATTTTAATAACTTTAAGTGCAAGATTGGCTCCCAACAGTCCTGGATTGGAAAGTAAATTATTGGCGATTAGGTAAGTGGAATGTCACAAAAAAATTTTTGTGATAAATATTGCGTGAAAAAATGGACCGTATCAAGACTATGTTCCAAATATTGTTCGAAGTTGGCAGCAGATAATAAAGGTGGAAGACCGCGCTCCATCACTTCTAGAGAGGATTCTCTGATCGTCAGATCCGTCAAGAAAGATCCCTGGATCTTTCTTGACGGATCTGACAATTAGAGAATCCTCTACATATATATATATATGTAGAGGATTCTCTGATAGTCTATATATATATATATATATATATATATATATATATATATATATATTATATATATATATATATATATATATATATATATATATATATATATATATATATATATATATATATATATATATATATATATATATATATATATATATATATATATTATATATATATATGCAGACTAGTAAATATATGTAAGTTATGTAGAGTAGGAAATTTATTATTTTTTAATTTATGTTTACATAGCACACCTGCCTGCAACCACTTTTTAGTTTTGCGATTTGACCACGGCCATTGTCATACATCGTTGGATTCGTTACAATGAGTAAATTTAGATTTGATATATCACCAAAATCAAAAAATTCTTTTTAGCAAAATATTTACGTTTTGGGGGCCAAAAGGGCCCAATTTAGAAAATTTTTCCCAATTTTGTGGATTTTTAAATTATTATTTTTTAAATAAATTTATATAAAAAATTTAACAATTTTTCAAAAGTTAAAGCCATTTAAGGTGTGAAGATGAGTCATAAATAGAATATATTGTTTGGATATGACTGTCATAAATATGTCATTTGTAAAATACAAATATATTAAATATATATACAAACCATGCACATTAACTAATCCTTTATATTATTAAAATACTGTTTATTAATAAACTTAACATTTTTGTGTAACATATTATCATAAAAAAGTTATATTTAAGTAAAGTTAAAACATAAATATATTTTTAGGAGCATTTGCAATATTTAAAAGGTTTTTTACGTTAAAACTAATAACAGCTTTTTTTAAATGTTCAGAAAAGGAGCTGCTAATTTTGGAAACTTTTAGTCTATTCCAAGATTCATTAACAAAGCTGTAATGAATTGCTTCAACAGATTTTTCAGAGTAGCAGCCTAATCCATGCCCTCTTACTCCACCTATATGTTTTATAATAAAATGAATTTTCAATGAAACAGTTATTCCATAGTCTTCAACAAGTGTTCTGTAGTGATCTTCAAAGTTTTTAATATGTGTTTAAAAATCATTATGAACTTTTTGTCCAAAACAAGACTCAACCAAATTGTTTAAAACTCTAAGCCTCTCTGCCAATGGCTTTAAATTAATTGGCAATGCACGCATGTACTTATCACAATTTTTAAGAATTTTACGGGAGGCGTTGCCATTAAAGGCATTATTCTGGACCTCTTTTGAAATGTTTAAAATCATTGATACTTTAGCCACTTCGTTTTCACCACCACATTTCTCTATATGATTATAAATATGATTAACAACTCCCTCCATTAGGTGTAACTCTGGCTGGAAAATATAATCTGCCACTAAGTGGTCGCTGGTTTCTGTGTGTATCAATGGAGGATTAATAACGTTGCAAAATTCTTATGCATTTTGTTTTATTGCACCTGATTGAGAAAAATTTGTGTATTGTTTCTCTAAAGAACCAAAAGTTTTAAGCTTCTCTTCTTTAAATGGTTGCATTCGTTTCCAATCGCATATATGGCACGGTTGTGTAGCTTTAGCACTTGGAGATAAACCACACATTATTTAACAAAGCTTAAGATCAGCTGCAAATGAGTGTTTTATTCTATCTAAATTAAGACAGTTCATTAATATAAAAACATTGTAGTGACTTTCAGGAACATTCGGAACTAAAGCTAGTAAAAAAGAAGCTTTTACAGAACCTTCTTTATATTTTGAATTCTGAGCTTCTTCATATGTACTCATTGTAGTTTTGTCTTCATGATTGTTTTTGTCAAGTTCTAAACCTTCGCTTTCACAATCTGACAGTAGGTTTAAACAAATCTAAAATAAGAATTTTTTTATTTTTACAAAATGTTTTTTTTTACATAATTCTCATAAACATATTTAGAATAAAATTATTTACATTTAGAAAGCCTCTTCCTCCATCAATATCGAGCTTGGCTGTTTGATTGCTTAAGTTCACTTCTTTTATCGCAATTAGCAACTTTAAAAAACCCTCAATATTGATGCACTTAATAATAGGGATATTTTCCCTTACTTTTAAATTTCCTTTTTTAATATCAAATTCTTGATAATCAATTAAAAATAAATCTTCAAGTGCATCATCAACTGCCGGAAGTGCTGTTTGTAGGTTTGCTTGTATGCAAGTTTTCCTTTTCATTGATGTTCTAATAAAAAAAAACATATACATTTAGGCTAACTATTTTCCTTAAAAAGAGTAAGATATACTTCAAATTGTTCTTACCTGAGATCTTTTGCTAGTTGTATTAGTTTCTTGTTGGACAAAGAAAGTCTTGATTGAATCCTTAATAAATCAATCAAGGTGATTTTTTTAGGTTTATTTTTTAAGGTTCCTACTAATATTTGTAAAGGTTTTGCACCTGTAGCAAGTTTAATTATTTTCAATCCTTGTTCATATGATTTTTCTGAGATAACTTGAGAAGCAAGGTGATCCGTAACTTTAGCTAAAGCTTGAAGTTTTTCTAAAACTTTTACAGTTAACATTTTATTTCCACATTTGTGCTTCTTTCCCTTCCCAATTATTGAAAGACAAGATTTACATATTTTTTCATTTGGTGCACGCAACTTAGAAAACTTACTATTTCTTCTTGCTCGGGTTCTTCCACGTAAACTGGTTAGTTTGCATATTTTACAGTAACAACTAGTAGAATTTCTGGTTAAAGGTGTAACAACGTTTTTAGTCCAGTCTATCACAAAATCCGGCAAGTAGTTTTTTCTACGTATATTTTTTCTGCATTTATTACATATGCCGAGTGGATTTTTTGTATCAGGTCGATCTAAATCAAAAGTGGACACTTTCTCTTTAATTATAAATATCTTTATAGATATATATCTTTATATATATATATATATATATATATATATATATATATTATATATATATATATATATATATATATATATATATATATATATATATATATATATATATATATATATATATATATATATATATATATATATAAATTAACATGAAAATTTATATATATAAATTAACATATTTAATTTATATATATATATATATATATATTGATATATATATATATTGATATATATATATATATATATTGATATTTTAATTAAATAATATAATTTTATGATTTCGGTAACATATCAAACCTAATTCTGCTCATTGTAACGAATCCAATGATGTATGACAATGGCCTGGGTCAAATTGCAAAACTAAAAAGTGGTTGCAGGCAAGAGTGATAGTAATAGTAAAAAAGAAAAAACAAATTAACATGACTCCACAGAGCTAAAAACAATAGAAAAAGTTCAGGAAAGATAAATAGAAAAAATCAATTGAGCTAAAAACTGCTTAAATAATTCCTTAATATGCTTGTTTGTTTTTTGTCATATATGTCAAGAAATAAAATTTTATCTAGCTGTATTATTAGTTAAAAAAATTCAGGGATGAGAGGTAATGGGAAAAAAATCAATTTTATTTCAATATTTACGTAAACTTGGAACACACTAAAAAATATACATGAGCTCTTTTATCTATATTAACTC